TTCTATTTGTAGGGGGCGCCACCTACATGTGTTTTAACTGCTTTGGGGAGAATAAATTTTCGTCTGTACCTGTATAAAACTACTGAGTGAAAAAATATACATCTCCATGACTTTTTACGTAAAAAAATTCTCTTAAAAATTGCTACAAGCAACCGTACTTAATATATTTAGAGTGGAAATAGTCAATACATGTCATTATTGACAAAAAATAAACACGTTGAGTAGAGATAGATATTAGACGAGAAATAATAAATTTCGGAAATTTTTATTTTTTTTTAATTAATCATAAATTTATCTTTGAAAAAATGATGATAAAACAGTTTCTGTTGTACTTTTGGCACAAAAACATTTCAAATTTATGATTTCAGTCTAATAACTATTTATATATTCAACATGTTTAATTTATGTCAGTGATGACAGGTATTGATAATTTCGATTCCAAATATCTCGAGAACCATTACTCTTAGCGATTTTTACCAAGAGACCTTTTTAAAAAGCATCGAAAATGTATATTTTGTTACTCAGTAGTTTTATACAGGTACGAACGAAAAGTTATTACTCTTCAAACCAGTTAAAACATATGTAGGTGGCGCCCTCTACGAGTAGGAATCATATTGATATCAAAATCACATTTCTCATGTCAAAAACTCCCAGACACCAATTTTCATCCAAATATTGACATTACTTCTGAAATTATTTGGAAAAAATCGAAATAAAAATAAAACTTCTACGCCCTCTATCTCCGAAACTAAGCATTTTAAGACATACATTCATACGAACTTTTTTACTTATTTTAGTCTGCAGATTATGCTGTCTAAGTTTCCGGAATACAGTTTGGACCACCCTGTATATTATAATATTATAAAATGTTTTTTTCTTTTTATTAAAATATTAAAAAAAAATTGTTGCAGGACAAGGGGCTAAAAATTGTTGAACACGGGCTCGCAACTTCCTCGCTACATCACTGATTCACTGACTGCCAGTTCACACTTGATAACGGTCAGTGATACTTCTGACCGAAACGTTGTGTAAGCAAAATAAACAAAGACAATAGAAGTCCGAAATTCTGTTAGTTTCAAAACTAAACTGATAATGTTTCAATTGGTTAATTTAAAATAAAACAAATTTTCCTTTAAATAATTTAAAACAGAAATTTAATAGAAGTTGATTATTTCCAAACTGATTTAAATCAAAAACAATTGAGAAGAAAATGTCGAAGTAGCTTCAGGATAGAAATTAATCACTTAACTTCGAACTAAAAATCTATTATAATTACTGTAATACTGTAACGAATAAAATAATCTTGAAATTTCGACAAACAATTAAAGGATCATTAAGATTGTTATTTAGATCCGGCTGTTCTTGCTTTATTTGTTCGAAAATCTGCGAGAAAATTTATAGATTGATCGATACTTCATTTCATCCCGCAAATTTCCTCAATTAATAGTAAATTGAATTAAAGCGATAACAGCTACTTCTTTATCGGCAAAAAAGAAATGAATGGACCATCGACTATTTTTCTTAAACTAATGTTTCTTTTTTGTATTGTATTTCTTTAATTTATTGGTAAATAAGGAGAGAATTGATCGATTTAAGTAGGATAAATGGAAAAAATTGGTCAAATGCGAGTCGGACTCGCGCACGAAGTGTTCTGTACCATTCATTATCTATAAAACATTAGACACTATATTATTATAAACTTTTTTTCCGATTTCGCTGAAATTTTGAATGTGCGTATAAGTAATTTAAAAAAAATGAAGAAATACATTACTAAAAATTGTATTAATCAATAATAAATATGTAAAAAGTAAAAATAAATATGTAAAAATTAAAAATAAACGATTAAAAAGTCGCCTTGACTAGGATTCGAACCTGCCTTACTACGGCTCCAACGTCATAGCAGCGTAAAGTCCTAACGCTTTAACCATGCGGCCATCGAGAACTTGAAAGATTCTATGCAAAATTCTTACTTAAAAGATAATGTTTAGTGAAAGTACTTTTTTATTTATAAACATTTATTTAATTCTGTTTTTAGTATTTGTTCTTAGAGCGGCAACATAGATACATTATCTGTGAAAAATTCAACTGTCTAGCTATAACGGTTCATAAGATAGAGCTTGTGAAGATATACGGCCCATAAGATAAAGCTGTGACAGACGGACGGACCCGGACTGACGGACAGTGAAGTCTTAGTAATAGGGTTCCCGTTTTTACCCTTTGGGTACGGAACCCTAAAAAAGTCGGTTAAGAATATAAGGGACACGAGTTGGCTTTTATATTTTGCATATAAAAACATTGTAAGCGCCTGTTAACATACGGGGTGGTCCGAACCGGATTCCGGAAATTTTGCCAGCATATTCTGCAGATAAAGTTCGTATAAATGTATGTTTTAAAATTCTTAGTTTCGGAAATACAGGGTATACGAGCAACCGTACTCAAGATATTTAGAATGAAAATAGTCAATACATGTCATTATTGACAAAAAATAAACATGTTGAGTTACAGGATGAGTCTTAAATAAGTACCAATATTTTTAGGGTTAGTATATTAGAATTAGAATAAGTGGGAGGGGGGTTAATCTCTGCGACCTTAGAGATCTATTGTGTCCCCCTTTCTTGAGTTATAACTCATCATACAGTCCCAGGACTTCCTACGGAGACCCGTGTCCCGCACAGTCGAGGAGCTATGACCCAGGCCGGGTAGACGAAACGGTAGCTTGTGTCGCCTGTTGGGTTTAGAGGTAGGAGGTAGGCTCCCGACCCTTGGAGGATGTGGTAGCTTGTATGCCACTTGCGGAGGATGGTCTCACGCAAGTGTCAGCCACCTCTCCTGTAGTTCTCTTTGGGTTTGGCCCCTTAGAACTTTCATTGTTACTGTTCCCAGTGTCGCTAGGGGGTTTCCCCACAGCTTCACCGGTGATGTTTTTATTACTATTATTATCAGATCTCATAGTGTTCCTATGAGTCGCTAGGAACAGTCGGTCCACTTCTACAGAGCCCCGCATGTAGAAGTAAGGGTAAAATACAATGGGGTGCCCCCGGTGCCCCAAGGTTGAGGCTGTCCGTAGCCCCGCCCGGTATCGTTATATGTCTTGGTGCAATTCCCTGGCCACGACACTACAGTCAGGGACAAGACGATGAGTGAGATGCTTCTTAGACCAAGCCAAGTGCTAGAGGGGATTCCCCCAGCACCTGACCAGGAGCTTCCCCACCAACGACAAGGTCTTGCATCTCCTAGGGGAGGTTAGTATATTTCGACCCCAGAAAAAAAACGAATTTCGAAAACAAAGGAATTTTTTGAAAAAAGTTTTGATTTTTTTAATTTTATTTAAAAAACAAAATTTCTTGATAATATGGGGACTCGACGTGACGGTGACGGTACGTTATAGTGAGAATCGGGCTTAAGTCGTTGCGTCCAGACCGCGCTTTAAGCATGATTTTCATACATCCTTGGTATATCATCTACTGGAAGTTGGAGGAGTGGAATTGAAGTCAAATAGCATACAGATAAGTAAAAATGCATTAACGCTTTTAGGATCAAACGTATAGATAGGAAGATATGAATAGTATAAACACAATAATTAGTGATGGGAATACCGGTTCCACATGAGTCGCGTTACAGCAAAATACCGCCATTTTGTAATCGAGGTTCCAACTTCCTAAATGTCGCGGTCCTCGCTTATGTAGTATTTCTGGCATTGGTACCTACTTTTATTTTATACTACCTACCTAGTCCCACAAACCACTGTCAAAAAAAAATCTTTATTGGTGACCGGTTTCGGCAATTCCAGCCATTTTGTAATCGAGGTTCCAACTTCCTAAATGTCGCGGTCCTCGCTTATGTAGTATTTCTGGCATTGGTACCTACTTTTATTTTATACTACCTACCTAGTCCCACAAACCACTGTCAAAAAAAAAATCTTTATTGGTGACCGGTTTCGGCAATTCCAGCCATCATCATACCTTAAAAATAGATATAAACAATAAAACTTATATAAATGTATAAAAAAAATCAAATAAAATTTTCATTTTATTTTATTTGCTTTTACGTTTCATCTTTCAAACAACGCTATTTTATACCATGCTTAGTACATAACAAAAATCGCTATTTCAAAAGTAACGTAGCGACGGGAGCACCAACGCCAATATTAACCGACCCAGTCGCTACAGGCGAAAACGAAACCCTAAAAGCGCTCCAGCGACTGCTGGAACGAAGTAAGATCGAGCGTCGATAGCCAGTTACAGCAGTTACTTCTGTTCGCGACAGGGAACTAAAACTCTAGGAGTGCGACGGCTGGAGCGAAGTAGGTTGCCGCGCCGCCGAGGTCGAGCGTCGATGCCCTGTTACAGCAGTTACGCGACAGGGAACTACAACTCTGGGAGCGCGACGGCTGTAGCAAACACGTCGCCGTCGCCATCGAGATCGCCCGACACGCTACGTATAGTTCCAGTAACTATTGTAGGCGACCGACGAAATCGCGACGGCTGGAGCTAAACACGTCGCTATGCGGTTACTACGGTTCAAGCTAACTTCAAGAGCGATTATAAATCATTTATTTGCAAATTATAATAATTTATAATTTTGTCGTTATTATGATCGTCGTTCTTCAGTAACAGGTTCCCCATTCGTTGTGGAGCGCGACACGGCGTTACAAAAAAATACCGCTCCAAAATCGCGTTACTCAAATACCGACACTTCACTAACAATAATAGTACTTAAACAACTAATTATTTGGTTTTGACGATTATTAAATATTTATCTCAGCCAGAAAAAAATATTTCGAAGCTACAATCATGTTTGTTGGCAGTATTTTTCAATTTATATTTACATTTTTTAAATATTTTTGGTCTGCATAATTTGAGTAATTATGAGCGTCACATTCTTATACACAAATGAGAAATCTAGGAAAATTTGATATGCGTTACGACAAATCAAATCATTAATGCTATTAATGAGTCTGTACTTTCAATCTAATTAGTAAAATATCTGATTGTTTAAAGCTTCTAGAGATAAAGATCAAACAGAATTACATTATAAGGCCGATTACCCATAATAATGTTCTTTCTACTACCATTCATTCCATAATATAAATAATAAATTATACCACTAATAATAATTATTAATAAGTTTTGGTCTATCTAAAAATGAACAATACTAGTGTTTTAAGTTTAATGTACTTGTTCAATTTTATTACTTAAAAATATTCGTTAAAAATTCTTTTTCTAGTTTTGGATCAAAAAAACTAGGTGTATTAGTAAACCAATTTTTCAATAAAGTGCTTCAAAGATAAATATTATTTTTTCGAAGTAAATTTAATTTGTTTATTAATCTAAAAATATAGCAGGTGCGTCTCAAAAGAGGATCACCCCCTATAACTTTTTTATTTTTTCAGATAAAAAAGACGAGATTTGGTATGTTAGTATATGACATAAATTAGGATTGATTAACGTAGTCAATTGTTTTCGGTTGCCTCTTGTTTAACCGCAAATGACTACAACTTTTGATTTTTAAATGGCACCCTCGGTATATTTTTATTTTATTCGATAGAAAATGATACTCTGAAAAAAATGACATATCATATGTCAACTTTTGACTTTTTCGCTTAAAAAGAATATTATTTTTAATTTCAATCTATGCCATGGTCTTGTTAAAAACACTAATATTTAATCAAGGAGCAAAAATAGATTTGATCGCCTAATTATTTTCGTGTCTTGTCCTGGCTGGTGAAAAGATACCCATATCGTATTTTTAATCATATCTCAATTTAGTTTAATGGAACAAGTGAGGCTCATTAGTGTATTTCACACTTGGTATTTCTAGTCAAATTGTCGTTAAGGACCGTATGTTACAATTTCAAATAAACCATATTCGAAAATGTCAAAAATTGACATATGGTATGTCGTATTCAGAGTGTCATTTTATCAAATATTTCAGACAAATATTATACATATATACAATTTAAAATATATAATTTTATCAATTTAAAATTACATATTTTAAATTGATAACTTATTTATTTTTTACGACGATTGGAAGAGTATATGCCAATCAAAATCAATGAGTTTGTTTTTAGACAATTTTATTACGTGTAAAAAGCTACTGAAAAGTTGTAAAATGTAATGACACAGAGGTGTAGAGACATGAATGTGAATGTATTTGCATGCTTCATAGACTATCGTAAAGCGTTCGACTGTGTTAATCATCAGAAGATGATCAAAATTCTAAGAACAACCGGAGTTGACGAACAAGACCTACGTTTCATATCAGAACTTTATTGGCATCAAACGGCGGTAGTTGAAATTAAGCAGTCAACATCGGAAGATATACAAATCAGACGGGGTGTTCGGCAGGGTTGCGTCTTGTCTCCGCTCCTGTTTAACCTGTACTCGGAGACTATATTTAGAGAGGCATTGGATCGAATCCAGGGCGGAATCAAGTTCAATGGAATCCCAATAAACAATATCAGGTATGCCGATGATACGGTTATAATAGCCAACGATATACAAGAACTGCAAAGCATTATAGATTCCGTAGTCCACTATAGTGAGATGTTTGGACTGCATCTCAATGTCTCCAAGACCAAACTATTGGTCTTTTCTAAAACTCCAATAAATACACACCTGCGTGTCAAGGGACAAACAATCGAACAAGTGACCTCAATGAAGTATTTAGGAGCTAACATCAATAGTCAGTGCGACCCGAAAAGAGAAATATTTTCAAGAATTGAGCAAGCGAGAAAAATCTTCTTGAGAATGAAATCATTTTTTACAAGAAGAGACCTCAGTACGGATCTCAGAACTCGAATGGCCAGATGCTACGTCTTCTCTGTTTTACTCTATGGATGTGAGAGCTGGACACTGGATTCACAGACCGAGAAGAGAATAGAAGCCTTCGAAATGTATATATACAGACGGATGCTGCGAATCTCATGGGTACAAAGGATCACCAACAATGAAGTACTCCAGCGCATGCAGAAACAAAAAGAGATACTGAACACCATCAAGGAAAGAAAAATGCAATACCTGGGTCATGTGATGAGAGGTGGTAGATACGAAATACTGCGCCTCATAATAGAGGGCAAAGTGCAAGGGAAAAGATCAGTAGGAAGACGCCAGAACTCATGGCTAAAAGATTTGAGGAGATGGTTTGAACGCTCGTCTGCGGAAATCTTCCGGGCTGCAGTTTCCAGAGCCACAATTGCCATTTGGATCGCCAACCTTGGGCAGGAGAGGGCGTGATAAGAAGACGATCTGTCAAACGGCAATTTTTACAAAAAAAATATTTTGAGATTAAACTCAACACAAAAGTATTACTTTTATTTATATCTTTTTCCTGTTTTAAAATTCTTCAGAAGAAAAACAAAATGTTTTAACCCATACTTAATTTATATACTAGTTTATTGAAATTACATTAATGACAAAAACATAAATAAACTTAACGTAAATTTTAATTCTCTTTAAATTCTTTTATTGTACAACTGTGCCGCTTTCACTCGTTAGTCCAATCTTTAGCATGTCGTATTTACCACTTAAGAAAGTTACTCTAACCGAGAGCTCTTTGAACTTAAATTGTTTCTGATTACGCCAAACTTTCAACTATTTAGAGTTTTGAGCATTGTGTCTCGGAAATGAAAGTGCTCGAGGCGAGAATTACTTCTAGATTTATTTCTATTCTATCGGTAAATAGATTCCTTTCTCGTTTAGACACCACTTCAATTTTTATTTTCGCGGAAATGGGACGCAATGAAAAAAGATTTACTACTGGGAAAATAGATGAATACTAAAGCATATAATGAAAATACCTTAGCTCCTTTATATCCCGTTAGTTTTTATTTGGCAATCTAAACAAAAAAAAACTTACCCTAGAGACTAAATGGTGCAAGTACACACTCGCCGCGACGCAAAGTGCTTCGAACATATGGCTCTAGAAGACAAAAATGCAAAACTTCTCTTTTATTGTAGGCAATTTATTCAAACTAGGTTTATTTGACACAAATGATGAGTACTCTCATTGTACTAAATGATGATGTTCTTAGTCCCACGTTTATGAAAAAAAAATCTTATAAATAATAAAAATATGGGAGCTGTGTTCCATCTAAGGAAATAATAATTTATAGTATAAAAACGGTGTAAGTATTAAATAAATCCCTGTGATAAAAAAGAATTGGAATAACATTAGAACATGATTCCTACAATATAACCCAATATAAGATAAAAATGTTTTTCATTATGAAAAAGAAACATTAATGCTATATTTAATTAAAAAAAACTTAAGATACTATAAATTTACTTTAGGACAACAAAATGCATAGATCGTAACTACTCTGATTCAGAAGAATCACTGCTGACAGAATCTTCTAAATTTATAGTATCCAAATCACAGGTAGATGAAATATCCTCACATATAAGATATTTCTGTACATCATTTTCTAATATGTTACTTTTTCGCCTTGTTACTGTTCTTTTTGTTGGTATGAGGGGTTCGTATGTTAATAGTTACCTCTTTAGTAGACCATATCAATATATTATTTTTTTTGGGTATGAGGTTTTATAATGAATTGAAAGATGGAAACTTTTTTATGCGACGTTTCGCTCCAAAATAGTGGGCTTTTTCAGGCACAAATGGTCTCATTTGACTGGAAGGTTCATCAATATCTAATAAAGAACACATTTTTTGAAATACAAATAATTTTGAGTTCTTGTCCTTATGATCAAGCCAAGTATAAACCAGATCGGCATTGCTTATCAATTTTACTCCATCTGAAAAGTTTTATAAAATAAAGTTCGCCCTAAGCAGACGCAGGTGAACTATACAAAAATTAAAAGTGTATGAATATGACAACAAAAATATTCAATAAATACGATATGTTTTGATATGTTTTTTAAATGGCTTTTTGAAGTTTGAAAACATAAAATTTTTATACCCATTTAAGAATCATCTTAAAAAATAAACAAAAACTAAACAATCACGAACTTGTTTAGAACTAAATTTAAAGTACATACCTTGTTTAACAATATCCATAGTGGCTTTTAATTAAGTACGTACTAACTCGTTTACGTTTAACTCCATATACAGATGCACTATATACTATGAATGTTATTATTTTCATTGATATAAGATAATGATCGCAAAATGTATTTTTAGTGAAAATATTTGCTAACAAAAAAACGCTGTTTATGAAAAATAATATACAGGATGGTTGAACATTGCTATAAGTGTAAAATTACATATTCAGATATTAGTAAATTTTAAGTTTTTTTTCGATTTTTGTCCATGGGACGAAGCACTGTGCGACGACCCGAGGCCGAGACGAGGCGAGTGTGTACTTGGAGCTCTCGCCTGCTCTCGGGCCCTCTCGCCTCGCAATCTTAACGTTTTGTACCAAGTACACACTCGCCGAGGGGCCCCGAGGCGAGGCAAGGCGAGTGTGTACTTGGGGCTCTCGTCTTGCCTCGGTGGCTCTCGCCTCGTCTTGGGAGCACTCGGTCTAGAGGCGGTCTCCAACACGAGTCAAAGGAGACGAGAGCCACAGAGAAACTAAATAAAAGGAGACACAATAGATTCTATATTTCTCTATGGCGAAAGCGGTAAGTAGGAGGTCCCGCGAAAATATACACGGTGTTCTCGGGAGATCGGCATTCCTTAGTTCGTCTTCTCAAATGCCTTTGAGTTGACGTCTATTTTCGGTATTTAAATTATTAAAATATAAATATATTATTAATACAGTGGATAAACGATTTTAGTGAAAGTACCGAAAAATCTGTTAAGAGAACTGTAGAAAAAAAAGATTCTTTAATGGTTACTTTCCGGGCCGTTTAAGATATTAAAAGCTATGCACGAGGTTTTAATTCAGTTTGATGGAAAGTCTTCAAATTCAAATATATGACTGCCAACCTAATATAAACATTCATTAGTTTCTATAAGTATCTACGTTTATTTTAATAATTGATAAGCGATCAAACAAAACGAATCCATTTTGAGATATTAGCAAAAAACATGTCGTTATTGGTATAAACGTGTCGTTATTGTGTCTTAAACAAAGAAAATTATAAT